AGAAGCAGAAAAAAAATAGTGGGGTCAATGCAGAAGCAGATATAGTGTCCATTTAGTGGGGTAAAAAGTTATCACATTGCTTCTCAAACATGCAAAGGAAAATGGAGCTTATGTTTTACAACGGATGTTTTTGCTTTTTGAATCTCCACTTCACTGGGTGGGGGATAGGGATGGTGAAAGAATTGAATTAAATTATTCAGCTCATTTTATGTTCAACTCCCTATCATGGCTATTTCTCCCTCTGCCCTTTTCTGCCATCTGGATGTCTGGGAAGGGGAGTTTACATTCCCTATGGTGAGGTGGTGCTGAGGATTGGGTCTCAGATGGGCTTGCTGTCCTCCTGATCTTCTCTGGTCTCTATTCTGGGCGGCTGGCGACTGTGGTGCTTGCTCATCACATCTGCAGCAACAAGTGATCTGGTGTTTTGGCTAGACTGGAGGCCAGTACCCATTCCTTGGTAATTTGCCTCCACCTTGGTTCTAGCCACCTCTAAGGTGTCGCTGAGACTCTCAGCTGATCCTGGGCCTGCTGAGTCCTGCAGATCTTAGCTATAAGATCCACAAAGTTACTTTGTGCAATGACTCCAACTCTCCAGCTGGTATAATCAGCTATTTGCCAAGGTCCTCATCAGGCATGGAGAATTGCTATCTATCTTCTAAGCCACGTGTTAGCTGGTAGAGACCCTTTGCCCAACACTGCATTGCCATTTTTACAACAGTCCAGTATTGGAGCACAGGAAGTGTGTTCCGCAATTGTTCTCCCAATGCACTCAAAGGCAAGTGGGCCCAGCCGTCTCCCTTTTCAAGTTCTCTGCCAACCCCCTCTAGAATTTCCACAGGGGTTGCAAGAAAAGGTGAAAGGACACGCTGTGTCTGACCCTCTCTTTGTCTCACCATTCCCAGGATCAGGAGGGCTTTTTAATTTTTCTCTTTTGCTACCTCATTCATCTTCCTCCTCTTCCTTCGGGCCATATTTTCAGTTTGATATTTTAAAAACATTTTGTGTGATAAAGGTAATGCCGGGGGTAAGAAGAGACTGCTATGGAATCAATAGAAGGGTGTAGTGGTGCTCCCCAACCTACTCTTGGGATGTTAGAGTAGGGCTCCTGGAAGAAGTGGTATCTAAGCTAAAACTTGAAGAATACAGAGTTGAAGTGCAGAAGCTGGATAAAAATTCAAAAGGAACACAGGTAAAAGGCCCAGAGGCAGGACTTCTGATAATTCAGAATGTCTTTGGCAGAGTATAAAGGAGGCAATGGCAAGAGATAAAGCTGAAGCGGTAAGCTGAGGTCAGACCACGACGGGCCTCAGAAACCTTGTTTAGGAGCTCTGAGTTTACATTAAAAGCAATGGGAAACAACAATAAGCAAACACATAGAGACAGAGATTGGATTGGTGGTTACCAGAGGGGAAGGGGGAGGGAGGCGGGTGAAAGGGATAATTCGGCACATGTGCGTGGTGATGGGTTGTAATTAGTATTTGGGTGGTGAACATGATGTAATCTATGCAAAAATAGAAGTATAACGATGTACACCTGAAATTTATACAATGTTATAAACCAACGTTACTGCAATAAACAAAAAATTAAAAAAAACAAAACAAAACAGTGGGAAGCCTATGTTTTGTCTCTATGGAAAGGATATTATCAAATTTATGTTTTAGGATGACCACTCTGGTTGAAAGAGATGGATGCATATGAAGGCAAAGTTAAGGGCCATTTTGTTCCCCTTCACTCAGGGACTAGCCACCATCTTGAATTTTTTAAAGACATGCTAGAAAAGTAGACAATTAGAGGGTGGGTCACATCAGCATATTTAAATGTTGAAGAGATAGATCCTGAAGGAAGGCAAATGATGAAGAAATAGAAGAGAGGGACAATAACTGATGGCAATCAAGGACCTAGAGAGGTGGGAAGAAATGGTGAGGGACCAGAGAGACCCCTCTTTCACTCTGAGGGAGTAAAAGAGAAAGATTTCTCCCTGAAAGAGGAAGAGGAAATGATGAGTGAAGTGTAGATAAGTTGGCAAATTTGGTGGCAGGAGGTTCTAAGAGTTCTTATCTGTTTTTCTATAATGCAAGAGGCAAAAGCAGGGGCGGGCCCAGTGGCGTAGGGTTAAGTTCGTGCATTCTGCTTCAACAGCCCGAGGTTTGCTGGTTCGGATCCTGGGCGTGGACCTACTCACCGCTCAACAAGCCATGCTGAGGCAGCGTCCCACGTAGAACTAGAAGGACCAACAACTAGGATATACAATGATGTACTGGGGCTTTGGGGAGAAGAAAAAAAGAAAAAGGAAGATTGGCAACAGATGTCAGCTCAGGGCCAATCTCCCTCAAAAAGAAAAAAAAGCCGATAGCCCCAAAGGGTGACAGTCTATTAAAGAAAAAAAAAAGAGGGAAAATCATAGTCATCTGCCCATGAAGAAGGTGGCCAAGGAGTATGGCAAACACTGTTGGCTGACCCAATGTTATTCCCAATCCCCATCTACCCTGCTGCTTTCCCTCTGGAAGTTGAAAATGCTTGCTTTACCAGACACACTTGCAACAAGGAAACATACACTGAATTCTGCTAGGGTTTCTTGGGAAGCTTTACTTTTCCTAGTAAAGGAGACAGCCATGGCTGGAGCCCTTCATTCTTCCTTCCTGACTTGACCCCAGATGTCAATCTTGGAGCTGGGACAGCTCTCTCACATATCTGAGAAAATAAACATGAGGGAAAGGCCAAAAGAAGGGCAGAGACGCCAGCGAGACCAGCCATTGTCCAGCTGCTGACTGAGAGCCAGCAGCAACTCACCCTCCAGATTTCCTGCTGCAAAGTCTTATTTGTTTAAGCCACCAAAGGTAGATTTTGCAACCAGAAGCATTCCTGATACAGGAAGGTTTAAGGACAGTGAGGAGCATGTCTCTGAAGAGAATGGGAGAGAGATGAAGAAGGAACACAGGATTATAGATAATATCAAAGGCCCAGATGAAGTGAAATTCATTTTAAAAAAAAACCAATTTCATTTTGGATTATTTACTATATGTGGAAATTAATCAATCTAATGGGGGTGCTAATATCATGCTAATTTTTATCAAGGTTAGCCCAAGTCATAGTAATTCTCCATTTAGATAAGCTAACACCTTCTACTCATTAGGAGACCTCTGTTAGTGCAAGATAACTCAAAGTGCACAGCAACACCCTTTCAAGATTCATCATGTACTTAGATGATATGATTCACATGACTTTCTGGTGGAGAAGTTCAGATTATTCACCATGAAAAGAATGCAATCTTGCAAAGTTTATGGCAGCAACAAGTAAAGACAAGACACTTCCCTCAGAATACTTGATTTAGATTCTGTCATTTTATTCACATAGTACCTAAGAAACTGTCTTTCCATAATTAAGCAGTAATTCAATATACACATATCTCTGGGGCATTTGCTGCTTTAACAGATGGCTTGTTCCTCTCTTTAGAGAATGAGCTCCAAATAAAAAGATTCCTACATTTTTAATAACTAGAAATATACAAAACCCAATATATGTGCATATTTACTAGAACTAGAAAATATAATCACTATCAGAAAATTCTATAATTAAAATTTGTATTTATTTCTCCCCCTACTCTTCTATTTATCAATATACTAACTAAGCAGAGCACAGTAATCCCACATTTGTTTCTGGAGTTACTCTAAGCACTAGATATGGCTGGGTTTTTTGATAAAGAAATGTTTACAGTTCACCCAATCAAAGTCCACTATAAGCCCCCTCTTCCCTTCTCCTTCCAAGGACTTTCACTTCTGATGTTTGCCTCCATGATGGGTAACTGTGGCACCATAGAAAACACACCAATACGTGTATTCTTGTAATACATACAGAGTTTCATCAAGAATCCCTGGAATAGGGAACATTACATTGTATACTGTCAGAATAATTTTAATAACATATAAGTCAGTCATTTTATATTTCAACAGGGAATCTGACTGAATTAAATATGGGTAAAACTTTGGTGGATTCCTTAAATTGAACTTTAGTGATTTCCTCATTAGTACAAGAGAATCAAAATCCAAGGCCTCACTTTGTGACAGCTTGTCTAGAAACTGATCTTACTAATGCGTAAGACCCTGAAAAGGCTGTCTTGTGATGGCTGAAACATGTTCACAGCTGATTTATGCCAGAAAAGGGGCCAGGAAGAACACTGAGGGATAGTCTTCAGCTGTTAAGGGTTTGCTTTTCCAGGTAAGCTGTGGCACACTTCTCCATTACATGCCACACTTGGCAACATTCGTGTTACATCAGTCAGTCTTGTTTTGACAGTCTTTTCTTTTTTTTTTTTTTTTTTTTTTT